TGGACTACAGGCGGCTCAACGAGCGGACCACCACTGACGCCTACCCTATGCCCCGGGTAGACGAGTTATTAGACCGTATTGCCAGGGGGCGCTATCTGACCACCATAGACCTGTGCAAAGGCTATTGGCAGATCCCCCTGGCCGAGGATGCTATCCCTAAGTCGGCATTCGTCACCCCATTTGGCCTGTACCAGTTTAAGGTTATGCCATTTGGGATGAAGAATGCTCCGGCTACGTTCCAGCGTATGGTGGATAGGCTCCTCGATGGCTTCCAGGACTTTGCATGTGCATACCTGGATGACATTGCGGTCTACAGTGAGTCCTGGGAAGACCATTTAGTACACGTGGGGGTGGTGCTGGACAAGATTCGGGCCGCAGGCCTGACCTTGAAGCCAGACAAGTGCCATCTAGGCATGGCAGAAGTACAGTAGTTGGGTCACAGAGTAGGCTGTGGGAGCCAGAGACCGGAGCCAGCCAAGGTAGAGGCTGTAGCTAACTGGCCCACACCTATCACCAAGACCCAAGTGCTAGCTTTCCTGGGGACGGCAGGGTATTACCGACGTTTTGTCCCCGACTACAGTACGGTTGCCAAGCCCCTGACTGACCTGACTAAGAAGAATTTGCCTAAACAGGTCCTGTGGTCTCCAGCTTGTGAAGCCGCGTTTCAGGCACTGAAGCAAGCTCTTGTTAATGCTCCTGTCCTGGCTGCCCCAGTCCCTAACAAACGTTTTCTTGTACATACAGATGCTTCCATGTATGGACTGGGGGCTGTGCTAAGCCAGGTCGGGGAAGATGGAGGAGAGCACCCTGTCGCATACTTAAGCAGAAAGTTACTACCCCGGGAAGTAAGTTATGCGGCAGTGGAGAAAGAGTGTTTAGCCCTGGTCTGGGCACTGAAGAAACTGAGCCCTTATCTGTATGGACAAGAGTTTTCCCTTATTACGGACCATAACCCCCTCGTGTGGCTTAACCGGGTCTCAGGAGACAATGGCAGACTGCTGAGGTGGAGTTTGGCACTACAGCCATATAACTTCACCATCAGCTACCGACCCGGTAAGCAGAATGGGAATGCAGATGGGTTATCTCGGCAAACAGACGTCCCTACTCCTCCTCAGTCCGTTCATCCCCAAGTTGACCCGCCAAAGGGTCAAGCCGGGTCTGCCGGAGTGTTCCACAAGGGGGGGAGCCGTGTGACAGACCCATCTGTCTGGATTATAACTGCGTTGTTCGTCTGTTTTGCCGTTTTCATGAAATTCCCCGTTCGTATGCTTTATTTAAGGGAATGTCGATTTTGTCGAACGGAACTACCGAACGGACGGCCACCCAGAAGAGAAGTGTGCTGCTGGTTAACCTATTGATCCCAATTAGAACGTTGCGGTTAACCACAGACACTTCTCAATTAAAAACCGAATGCCGGGTGGTCGTCGTTCGTATGTCGACCACGAGGCGGCGGCCATTTTGTCCATGCGAACGACCAGCGGTGTTCAACGATTATTTCATGGATCGGAAAACGGACACTTTTTCAGCCGAACACCGCTGAAGCCGTCGACCTCCCCTTCTCAATCGACAAAAGCATGCGAACGACAGCCGTTCGGGAGATTCAACCACACGAATGGACTTAACCCAGATAGCCGTCCCATGGAGTCAATCGCATACCGAAGAACTGAAAGAGACTTTGACTCCATGGCGATTGAACTGTGCGAATGGGATCTGAGCGCTATTCTCCAATAATGTGCCCTCAGATCCAGGCTATCTGGGGATATGCAAGACTGATGTAAAATGTTCAGCAGTTATTAAGTTATGGATTTTTGTGTGTTTTTGTAACTTGTATCTAAAATGGCGATTGCCTCTGCTCGGGGAGATAATTGAATTACTTCCCAATTATTCCCCCGAGCAGAGGGGAGGGAACTGTACTGCATGCTGGGAATATTGTGGGGATGTATGTCCAGAATGTCCCCATGTCCCTCTGTGATTTCAGTCTCCCATTTGGTCCCCTAGGGGAGTGTCCACCAAGTGGGAGACCTGCATAAATACCGGGCAGGTAGCCCACAGTAAACCAGTTCGTGTTTTACCCTCAAAGCGGAGCTTGGTCTCGTTATTGGGGGGATTTGGATACCAGCGGCGAGAGACTGCTTACTTGGATTATTTGCCGCTTGGGAGATATTGTCGTTCGGTTATTAATTGCCGTTCGTGGATTTGCGGCTTGCGAAGGGAATCAGCCGTACAGGTACCGTTCGGGAGTTTGGAGTGTTCCCTGGCTGGCGGTTCGCCTGGTTTTATTATACCCGCTACCCGACCACATTATTGCGAACAGGGAATACTCGCTAAACGGCGGTTTGTACATTTCGTTCCTGGAGGTACCGTAACAGGTATCAATATCCTTCTGAAGATACGGTCTCCAGTACTTGATTTTCTCCAGTACTGTCTCCAAGTGAGGTCTCACCAGTGTTCTGTACAATGGCATGAGCACTTCCCTCTTTCTACTGCTAATACCTCTCCCTATACAACCAAGCATTCTGCTAGCATTTCCTGCTGCTCTATTACATTGTCTGCCTACCTTTAAGTCATCAGAAATAATCACCCCTAAATCCCTTTCCTCATATGTTGAGGTTAGGACTCTATAAAATATTCTGTACTCTGCCCTTGGGTTTTTACGTCCAAGATGCATTATCTTCCACTTATCCACATTAAATGTCAGTTGCCACAATTATGACCATTTTTCTAGTTTACCTAAATCATTTGTCATTTGGGTTATCCCTCCTGGAACGTCAACCCTGTTACATACCTTAGTATCATCAGCAAAAAGACATACCTTACCAGCAAGACCTTCTGCAATATCACTAATAAAAATATTAAAGAGAATGGGTCCAAGTACAGATCCCTGAGGTAGCCCACTGGTGACAAGTCCAAGCTTCGAATATATTCCATTAACTACAAACCTCTGTTGCCTGTCACTCAGCCACTGCCTTACCCAGTCAACAATATTTGAATCCAAACTTAAAGATTGCAGTTTATTGATAAGCCTTCTATATGCAACAGTGTCAAAAGCCTTACTGAAATCTAGGTAAGCAATGTCTACTGCACCACCCTGATCTATAATTTTAGTTACCCAATCAAAAAAATCAATAAGATTAGTTTGGCATGATCTCCCTGAAGTAAACCCATGTTGTCTCTGATCTTGAAATCCATGTGTTTTTAGATGTTCATCAATCCTATCCTTTAACATGGTTTCCATCACTTTCCCCACTACTGAAGTAAGACTTACTGGCCTATAGTTGCCCGACTCCTCCCTATTACCTTTCTTGTAAATGGGCACAACATTCGCTAACTTCCAATCTTCTGGGACTACTCCTGTTAACAATGATTGGTTAAATAAATCTGTTAATGGTTTTGCTAGTACACCACTAAGCTCTCTTAATAGCTTTGGGTGTATTCCATCAGGTCCCATTGACTTATTTGTCTTTACTTTTGACAGTTGAAATAGAACCTCTTCCTCTGTAAACTCACGTGTGATAAATGACTAATTTATCCTTTTTCTCAACTGAGGTCCCTTTCCTTAATTTTCATCTGTAAATACAGAACAAAAATATTAATTGAGGCCCCCACCCCTGAGCGGTGGGTGTGGACCTTAAATACTAATTAGGGGTGATGACCTAATGTCCAATTTTTGGGGGGAGGGGGGTGACTAGGTGTCAAATACCCTCCCTCCCCCAGGTGACTAGGGGTCCCCAAACCCCTAGTCACCCCCTCCCCCAAAAAATTAATACCTACCTACCCCCCTCACCCTATAAATAATGAGCGGGGACTATTTAACTAAGTACCTGTAAAAAAAATAAACTTACCATTTGATGTTTTCTTTCTTCTAAAATCTTATTTTTTCAGCCACAGAAAAGGCCTTATAAAAATCCATAATAACCGATGCAATAAAAAAAAAAATCCATCTTCACCCAGCGAGGGCTCCGCGCAGACTAAGCTCTGCAGGGCGGGGGAAGGCCCTGCAATTAGGCTCAGAGCACTCTGATTTGTGGGTTTAAGCCATCCAATCAGAGTGCTCTGACAGGTAAATGAAGAGACTAAAAGGTAAGGTTACTTAATCCACCAATCAGAGAGATGAGTCAAATTACACAGCGTGGGTAAATTCCAAAGAACTTTCCCACGCTGTGTAAAATGACACAGAGCACTCTGATTGGTGGATTTTAAATCAACCAATCAGAGTGCTGTGACAGGTAAATGTAGAGTCTTACCTGTCAGTATCTTCATCTACCTGTCAGAGCTTAAACCCACCAATCAGAGTGCTCTGAGCCTAATTGCAGGAAGCGGCAAGGCTTTATAAGCCTTCCCCCGCCCGGCAGAGCTCAGTCTGCGCGGAGCCCTCACCGGGTGAAGATGGATGATTTTTCCCCCCCCTTTTTATTTATTTTTTATTGCGTCGGTTATTATGAATTATTTATTTGGCCTTTTTTGGGGATGAAAAAAGATTTTAGAAGAAAGAAAACATCTGGATTTGATCGTAAACCTACTTATATGAAGTGATATGGAAACGCTATCTGAAGAGTTTTATGTGAGGTGAATGAACTGAAGATAAGCTAAGTACTTCCACCCTCCCCTATTTCTATTTATCCTGATGTATATGCTGAGATGAGAAAAAGATAAACTGGCAGTAGATAAACAAATATAAAGAATAATTATAAATATAATCTCTATAAAACAAAAGAGAGAGAAGAGAGAGAGGAGAGAGAAAGGAGAGGGGAAAGGAAGTGGGGAAAAAAGAGGAAAAAGTGAACACTGAAAAACTTCTTATTAAAGGAAAAGGAGAAGAAATAAGGGGAGTGAGGAAGAAGAAAAAAAGATAAAAAGATATGGCTACCAAGTCATCAGGAAAAGCTGCCATCAAGAAAGCAGCAAAGCAGGATCAACAAATAGAAAAAAGTAAAAAACCCTCAAGTTTCTTTTCACCTGGACAAAAATCTAATGTAGAAAAAAATCTTGAAAGCTCAATCATGTATTCATCAAAAAGTGAAGATTTTATTCAAAGCCCTTCCAGTCAAACAGAAAATTATATTACAACAGATTTTCTAAAACACTGTTTAGAAGAACAATTGGTGGCAATAACTGCTGAATTTAATAAAAACACAGCAGAAACAAAAAAACAGTTTTTGGAAATATTGGAAAAACTAAAGCAAAGTGAAGAAAAAATCACAGCTTTGGAATTCGAAAGCAGAGCAAACAAAGAACAAAATGAGCAGCTGTATAATCAAATGAGACAAATAGAAGGAAAACTAGGAGATTTGGAAGATCGTTTAAGAAGAAACAATCTAAGAATAAGAAATGTTCCAGAAGCAATTACACAAGATAAAATACCTGAGTATTTGGATACTTTATGGGCAACACTCAATATAGAAGTGTCAATTCTAAATACCAAAATGGAACGATACCATCGTTTAAGCAAACCTAGTTCGGTTTCTCAACAACTACCGAGAGATATAATAATTAATTTTCAGTCCCATCAATTTAAGGAAGCTATACTATATGCAGCTCGAACAAATCAGTCTAATAGAGAAAAGCTTGGTGATATTAAGATTTTTCAAGATTTTCTTTCTACACCAGACAACAAAGAAAGAAATTTATGACGGTTACTGGTTCACTAAGAAGACTAAATATAAAATATTCATGGATCTACCCCAGTAAAATAAAGATAATTACAGAAGGAAGACATGAGATATTCACGACTCCATCTCAGATTGAAGAATGGTTAAGGAAGAAAGAGAAATGACATTATATAAGTGGATAAAGAAGAGGGGGAAGGGGAAGAAGTGAAAAAAAAAATAATGGCGGATGAAGGAGGAGAAAGAAAAGAAAAGAAAAAGTTGTTTGAAGATTTAAAGTATAAGCAGAAATAAACTGATCCAAAGAAATTTAGAACAATAGAAAGGACATTGAATCACCATGTAGAAGAGATAGCGAAGAAATTGTTACCAATGAAGGAGAAAGTATATAGAGAGGGAATCCATAGGTTAATAGAAAACACGTATATGGTAGTAATGTGATCCACTCATAAGAAACACTTGAGGAAATTAGTTGGAAATATGTATTTCACATTAAATTTTTGAGGAGAAAGCGGTAAATATAGAATAACTGCTGCACAATGGTATATTAGGTAGATATAAGAGTTGGCACTGAAAAAGATACAATTTGGTAAAAAGGGATAAAAAGGGAAAATATATAAAAAAAAATTTTTTTGATAACAATAGGGGATAATAGGAAATGTAAGGTTTCACTTTATAAATATAAAAGGTGAATACAAATCAAAATATTTAAAGTGGGCACAAGACGAGGGAACGAAAAAGGGAAAGTTTTTTTATTATAAATAATAAACACAAATATTGTATAGAATATAGAATAATGAAATAGAAGAAAGGAAGAAGTAAGGAAAGAAAAAGGGGAAAAAATGGGTAACAGAAAGAAATAGAATGAAGGAGGATTGATAATTAATAATCGTTCTGAGAACAAATTATAGGAACACGTATGTAACAATGGAAAAAAAGAATAAAGGGAAAGAAGGGCACTTAATAAGTAAAGTGTGGTTTGTTTTTTTGTTTGTTTTTTTTGTTTTGTTTTGTTTTTTCTCTTCTCTCTCCTTCGCTTTGCTATTATGATATATATAAATGGATAAGAGTAGTAAAATAAATGAAATAAAAGGATCAAAGAATGTGATACAGACAAAAAATTAGTTTTTTTTTTTTTTTTTTATCTCCTCTTCGTCTCCCCCTCCTTTTTTCTCCTCGCTTTAGAGGAAGAAGAGAAGAGAAGGGTGGAAGTATAACTCTTCATAGAGTAGAAGAAAGAGGAAGTAGGGAACTTTAAAGAAAATATATATTTGGCTCCTCCAAAACGAGAAATAGTCTCCCTCGCCGTAACCTGTAAAAGGTTAAAAGTGGGTAATAAAAGCCACCAAGGAAAATGTTTTTTGACTCTTTTTAGGGTCTATGGAATGATTGGAAACAGACTACAAGTACTTATTATACTTGAAGGTGTTTCGTGTATGTATTGTAATGTGAGTGTTTATTTTTTTTTAGAGAGTTCACTAGACTATCCAAACAAGAAAATAATATATGACAATGGTTAAAATAATAACATTAAATATTCAAGGCCTAAATATTCCGCAAAAAAGACAAGCTTTTCAAGAATATTTTAAAAAGGAACATGTTCAAATTGCTATGGTCCAAGAGACACATTGGCGTAAACAGGATGAAAAGAGATGGACCAGCAGTTTTTATCCTTTAAAAATCTGTTCCTCTAGAGAGGAGGGGAAAAAGGGAGGAGTTGCAATATTTTTTGCAAAAGATCTAAAAATAAATATAAAATTTATGGAAACAGATTTGGAGGGAAGATTTATTATTTTAATAGCCACAATTAACGAGGAACTCTTCACTTTAATTAATATCTATCTGCCTAATAAAAACCCCATATGTCTATTGAGAAAAGTAATTAATAAGGTTGAGAAAGTAGGTGTAGGAATAAAGATATATGCAGGGGACTTTAATAGTATACAAGATCCCCTATTAGATAAGTTCTCTGAAAAACATCTGATTTGGGACAAACAAGTTTTAAAAAATGCAAGGACTTTTAATAATTTGATGAAAAGAGAAGGTCTATTTGACATATGGAGACTCAACAATCCTGCAGTGAAAGAATTTACGTTTTACTCCTGGCCCCATGATTCATACTCGCGGATAGATCTTATATTTGGAGATTTAAAACTAATAGATAGAACATATAAAATAGAAATTAAACCAGTAATATGGTCAGATCATAATAGCGTGTGTCTGGAACTAAACAGTAATAAACCAAAGAGTAATGAGACTACAACCTGGAGGTTAGATGATTCATTATTATCAAATAAGGAATATAAAGACTATATAGATAAAATGACCATTTGTTATTTTGAGGAAAATAATAATGGACTTGTGGAGAATGACATTCTATGGTGCTCATATAAAGCAGTAATAAGGGGACATTGCATAATGCTTAATAAATTAAAGAAAAAAAAAAGGTGCAAATATACAAGATCTTTATATTGAATAATATAAACTAAATAAAAAAAATAATGAAAATCCAACTAAGGATACTCAGTTAAAAATAGAGAAAATTAAATCTGAGATTCATGAAAAAACTTATGAAAAAAATAAAATAAATATGCATAAACTTAAAGTTAAATATTATCATAAATCTAACAGAGCTGATAAAATAATGTCTAATATGCTGAAAAAAAGAAATACGATCAATAAGGTCGATAAAATAATCTTTAACGACAACATCTCCCTTCTACCAGAACAGATAGGGAAAGCATTTAATGAGTACTATGCCAATCTATATAGTCTTTCAGTTATCACTCCTTCAGAAATAATAAAAAAAATATATTAGATCAGCAAAATTGAATAAAATAACAGAGACACAGGTAAATAGTCTAAATAAAGAGATTACGGAAGAAGAGATCAATATAATGATAGACAGATTAGAAACCTATAAAACGCCAGGTCCGGGTGGATTTGGAAATAAATTCTATAAGACAATGAAATCTCATCTGACAATTCAATTAAAAAATATTTTTAATTCTGCTGTTAAAAAGGGCAGATTCCCAGATGAAATGCTTAAAGCAAATATTTTACCTATTTTGAAACGAGGGAAAGATCCAACTAAAGTACAAAGCTATCGCCCAATATCATTAATAAATGTAGATATTAAGATATTTTCTTCTATTATAGCTAGCAGATTAAAAGAAGTTATAAAACAGTTAATCCATCCTGATCAAACAGGTTTCGTTCCAGACAGAATGTCAAGTAATAATATTAGACGCTTGATTGACGTATTAGATATATCACAAAAGAAAGAAAGTCCCATGCTGATCCTGTCTTTAGATGCTGAAAAAGCCTTTGACAGGGTCAGCTGGGACTTTATGAAGTTTACCCTAGAAGAATTGGGTATACAGGGATGGTTGCTAAACGCAATTTTGGCTCTATACAAAGATCCAACGGCGAGAACAATCGGTCCGGGCATTTGCTCCGACTGGTTTAAATTGAATAATGGGACCAGACAAGGCTGCCCTTTGTCCCCTTTATTGTTTATATTAACATTAGAGGTTTTAGCTAACAGAATTAGAAATAATGAAAATATTAAGGGATTTAAAGCAAAACAGAAAGAATTGAAAATATCTCTATATGCTGACGATACTATTCTATTTTTGAGTAACTCTACATCATTATTAAATGCAATGTCAGAAATTGATACATATAGTGTAGTATCAAACTATAAATTAAATAAAACAAAATCAAGTGCTATATATATCAATATATCAAAGCAAGAAATAAATTCCTATCAAGAAACATATGGCTTTACTAAAGCTAAAGTGTTTTTATATTTAGGAATTAAAATTTGTAGAAAGGTAGATAGTACCATGCGAATTAATTTTATGGATCTTCTAAAAGAAACCAATAAGAATCTGAAAGAATGGAGAAAATTAGAAGTATCTTGGGGAGGAAGAATAAATATTCTAAAATCATATGTCTTGCCAAAATGGATTTATATGTTTAGAATGCTTCCATTAGAAATCCCGAATGCATGGCTGACAATGATCAATAAGGCCTTTTCTAATTTTGTATGGTGAGGGAAAAAACCCAGAATTAAAAATGGAACATTAGCAAGAGGAATGAAGAAGGGAGGCCTAGGATATCCAAACATAAGAAAATATTATGAAGCAGGAATTATTATGCATGTAATGGCTAGTCAAATAAAACAAAATAAAGAGGAAGTCTGGTGGCAGTCAGAATCAGAATCTAGCCAACACAGTGATACCTTAGATTTACTTTGGAGTTCAATAAAATACAGCTTATCCAGATCGTACATTTTAGGACAGATTACTCCAATATGGCAAAAAATAAGGAAAAAAATTGATTTGGATAATAAAATATTCGATTTTCAAAAATTAGAAATATTAGAATTAAACATGGAGAGTATCTCCTTAAAACTATGGAAAGAAAAAGGAATACATATTATAAAAGATCTGATTAAAGAGGATAAAATAAAACCTTATAAAATGCTGGTAGAGGAGTTTAAGATCTCTGTTAAAGATGTATATACTTATTTTAGAGTGAAACATTATTTGGAGAAAGTTGAGTTAGTAAAAGAGGGTAAGATGTACGATATATTAAAATCAATATTATACCAGAATAAGACAAAGCAGTTATTCTCTAGATGTGTTAGGATGTTAGATTTATTGGATGATTCTGATCCGCCTAGTGCTAATAAAAAATGGAATAGTGAACTAAAACTAAACATAGAACTATCTGAATGGATATCTACCCTACAAAAAATTTATAAATATGTCCACTCCTTTGTGTTGATAGAAACTCACTTTAAGCTCGTTAACCAATGGTATATGACGCCAACGAAAATAGAGAAATTTGATGTTTCTAGAGACGCAAAGTGTTGGAAATGTAAAGAGGAAAAAGGAAATTATGTTCATATGTGGTGGTCTTGTAAACAAGTGATTGTTGTATGGCAGTGGGCTCAGCTTGTCATCCATAGGCTATGCGGTGTTAAAATGTCTCTAAAACCGGAAATGATGTTGTTA